GCGGGAGCTGTGCCGCCGGCAGCGGCGCGGGAGGGATTTCCCGTCGGAGGAGTCCCCGTACCCCACTGTTAATTCACAGACATTTTGTTTTCATTATTTAAAAGTGCTGTTAAACTCCAAACCAGCTGTAGGAATGACAAGTTCAAATCAGAAGGTCAGTGCTGCTAAATGGGATTTAATTGCACGGGGGTTGAGGTACAAACTGATGAATCTGAATAATAAAACTTTGTGGGGAGCGACATATGGCGCAGTTTAAAGTAAATTTTTATTGATCATCCCACAACTGATGTGTTAATGGGATGGCAGTCTTTGCTTTGGGTTTGATATTGATGTGGAGTTTTAATAATGTCACACAGGAATATTGTGGAGCGGTTTATAATTTAAAAAAAAAAAGTGTTTTCTATTAACTGCCTTTTTCTTCTTAACGCAGAGAGGAATACATTATATCGCTACTGCATGTCCTCCAGATCTAGGTTACATGTAATTGCTCGGTAATTGGTAGAACCATGTAAAAGCCATGGTATTTGCCAGTAAACCCTCCTAAGTTACCATGAAATTGAAGTGTGATATTTATTCTCTACAAAACTTGCTGCCCAAATATCGTGTACGATCAGGTTTGGTCACCGCAGAGACGTTCCTGCAGTGGCTGTGCCGTGCGTAACGCCTGCGCGGCTCGGATTTTGCACCGGTATCATCCTAACGGCTGGGGGGGGTTCTGACTGGGAGGTTAAGGGGTTATTTTGCTTCAAGGGAAGATGCTTTAACCTCCCTTGGGCTTCAGTTTCAGCATTATTACAGTTATTTCGAGGCCCAGCTCAAAATGACGGAGGTCTGGAGGTAGCTGAAGAAGTTCTCGTCGTGTTTTCAATGGGACTGGGAATAGTAATTACGCTCGCGGTGGTTTTTGAAGCCTCTGGAGCTAAAGGTCGGTACGCTGGGGGTACATCCTCGGGTCGCCTGCGCTTTAGCCTCTTGTTAAGTAGGATGTCCAAAACCGTTCCCATCTCGGCAATTTCCACGATTTAACCACGACTCTGGTTTAGACACCTCCAGCCCCACAGGCGTCCGTGGGCTCACGTGCGAGGAGCCCCCGCTCGTGGCTTTTTCCTTCCGATGGAGGTTTTTTGCCTCCTCCGTGTGAAATGGCTGGGTGGATTCAGTGATCCCTCCCTATCGCCTGCCGCGTGGCTTTAAATATGAGCAGAAGTAATTGCCTTGCTTATGATCAATAGTTTTATATGCTTTAAAAATGTAACAATACGCCGTGAATTGATGCAAAGTTAAACCTGCCAATTTTTTTTTCGCTGGCCTGTTTTAGAAGCTGCGAACTCAGCAGCGTTTCCCCTGCGCTTGGGAAGCGGTAGCTCAGCTGTTTGCTCTGAAGATCTGACCATCGCATCCTGCGCGTCCCACGGATCTGGCCCCGACTCCGCCGGGTCCCCTTTCACATCCGCTGGCACGGGCGGAAGCTGTAGTGCCCGCAGTTGGGTATAAAT